CTATAATACTCACTGTCCACCAATCACAGTAAACATTGTCCACCTATAATACTCACTATCCACCAATCACAGTAAACATTGTCCACCTATAATACTCACTGTCTGTACAGAGAAATCTAAAAAAAATGTATAATATTTACTTATCTGCCTATGAGATGAAACGTGCCTGTCAAAAATGCCCACTGCTCACAATGACAGTGTATATTGTTCTCTATAATACTTACTGTCTGCCTATTGTAGCAAACACTGTTCATGTAATACTCATTATCCACCTGTTGGAGTTAACACTCCTCGTCTATAATAGTCGCTGTCCACTTAATCCAATAAACACTGCGTCTATAATAGCTGCTGTCCACCTATTATTGTAAGCACTTTCTGTGTATAATACTCCCTGTCTACCTACTACAATAAATGCAACCCATTTATCACAAGACCATAAGATATAGGAGCAGAAGTAGGCCATCCAGGCCTTTGAGTCTGCTCTGCCATTAAATGAGATAATGACTAATCTGATAATCCTCAACTCTATGTTCCTGCCATTTCTCCATAACACTTGATTCTGCTACTGATTATAAATCTGTCTATCTCAGCCTTGAATAGACTTAATGACCCAGGCTAAACAGCCCTCTGTAGTAAAGAATTCCAGATTCACTACCCTCTGAGAAAGTAAATTCCTTCTCATTTCTGTCTTAAACGTACAACCCTCTATTCGAGATTATGTCCTCTGGTCCTAAACTCTCCTTCAAGGGGAACAACCTTTCCGTATCTATTTTGTCAAGTCCCCTAAGAACTTTGTATGTTTCTATAAGGTCACCTCTCATGATTTTATATTACAACAAGCACTGGCCCAATCTACACAATCTCTCCTCCTGGTGGGTTATCCCCTTCCTCACTGGATTATGCCTTTGCTGGGAGCCAGAGCCATACAGTCTACAGCACAGGCCCTTCTGTCCATTGAGTCTGCACTGGTCAAAAACAAGCATGCTATTCTAATCCCATATTCTTACACATGGCCCATAGCCCTGTATGCCTTGGCATCATACATGCACATCTACATACTTCTTAAATCTTATGAGGGTTTCCGCCTCTATTACCCTTACAGGTAGTGAGTTCCAGATTCCCACCATCCTCTGGATGAATAAAAATTCCCCTCTAAATGTCGTCTCTTAACCTCCATCCCGACTGTAAATCATGTCCCCTTGCTATTGATCCCTTCAACAAAGGGAAAGGTTCCTTCATGTCTACACTAGTTACACCCTTCATAATTTTAAACATCATTTCTAGTCTCCCCAACATAGGAAAGATTTTGTGAAACTTGAAAGGGTTTAGAAAAGGTTTACAAGGATGTTGCTGGGGTTGGAGGGTTTGAGCTATAAGGAGGGATTGAATAGGCTGGGGCTACTTTCCTTGGAGCATCAGAGGCTGAGAGGTGACCTTATAGAAGTTTATAAATTATGAGGGACATGGTACAAGTCTATGACTGTATCACTGTATTTCATGTCCCCCCTCAGTCTCCTCTGTTCCAAGGAAAACAACCCCAGTTTATCCACTTGCTCATGCTATAAGACCATAAGACATAGGAGCAGATGCAGGCCATTTGGCCAATCAAGTCTACTCCACCTTTCAACGAGATCATGGCTGATCTGATAATCCTCAACTCACTTTCCCCATAACCCATGATTTCCTTATTGATTAAAGACCTGTCTATCTCAACTTCAAATGTATTTAACTAGTGATGCCCACATCCCATGAATGAATGAAACAAGGTTTTCAGTCTGCACAAAACAGCAAGTCAAGGCAGAATGACCTTGAGCCTGTAAATTCTTAATGAAGTGACAATGCATTAGAAGGTAAGGCAAGGCAAAGCAAGACAAGACAGACATGCTGGGAACATCCAATTAGATACAAAGTAAGTGAACACTATGGAAGGAGTTCAGGAATGTATCCTGTATAGGATCATTTGGATGCATGTCATTGCATGCAAACCAGCCTGACAGGAACATTGATGTTGGTGACCTTGAAAGTGTAGCGGTGAAATTCTGAACTGTACGTCGAATTCATCAGAGATGTGCAATGATAATTTGCAGCATTCCTAGAAACCAGAAGTCAATGATGTGGGCAGTGTGCTGATGACAGTCACCCTGTGTACGTGCATAGCCATGTAGCTTAGAGGGAACGTAGATGATGTGCTGAGGCTGGTGCCTTGTCAATGCTAATGTCCACAGACAGACTATGGAGGAGACCACTGTCCATGGAGCTGTTCAGGAATTATGGCCACGATGGAGGTCTAGAGAATACATTGGTGAGCTGCAGCCGCTAGGTAACTATTCCTACTTTCAAGTCAGGAATTGGCCCTGTCTGGTTTCTCACTGCTCCCTGGGATAATAGCAACTTTCATATAAATGAGGTGAGATTAGGCAATAAAGAGATGTTAGTGCATGCAAATACCACCCTTGCCACTCACTATCAAGATTCTCATCTAGCTATCGATACCATAGTGGGCAAATTAGGCTTTTCTTTTTCAATGTCGAGCATTTAACTTTTTCATTCTCCCCATATTCTCCCAATGTCTCTTCCTTGTCCACATCATTCAGACACTGGGAAAATTCCACACTGTCTGTAATGCCCACTGTCCACTCATTATAGCAAATACTCTGTCTATAATGCTTGATGTCCACCTACTGTAAACACTGTCAATAATACTCATTGTCCACCTACTTCTGCAAAACATTGTCCATCTAAAGTACTCACTGTCTGCCTATTACAGTAAATACCTGTCTATCTATAGCATTCACTTTTCACCTATTATTGGAGATGCTTTTCATCTATCTTGCTCAGTCTACTTCTATGACTGTAAATATTTTGCATCTACGGTCCTCAATTTTTGCCTATCAGACCAAAGACTACAATACTCACTGTCCAGTTATTGGACTAATCCACGGCTTCTCAAACTGTTTTCAGAACCCCCGGTGGAGTTGGGAGATGAAACTTGGGGTTTGCAAGGTCTGAGGCAGAAATGGGTGTTGTGAAGCTCAGACTGATTTCTGACTGCTGTGAAGATTCTTTTTGGTAGACATGGCCTAAGCGACTGTTGTCCAAGGCCCGGGTGCTGCTGTAGAAAAAGCCTGTGAATGGGTAGCCATTTGTTTTATTTCTGTAAAAAGCCAGTTATTTCAATATTCACTTTGATCTTGCATCAATAATCTGGATCACAATGCATTAGTAATTATAACTCTATTACATCAATAATCAGAATCCTATTGCATCAATATTGAGGATTCCATGACAACAATGCTCAGAGATCTACTACATTAATGGTCTTGGTGTCTGTTGCATGCACAATTTTTTTTGAAAATCCTTTCCTGGGATGTTAGTGTCACTGGCAAGGCTAACATTTGTTTTCCATTCTTAGGTGGGGGCCTTCAACTGATTGGCATACTAGGCCATTTAAAAGGTAAATTAAGACTTAACCACATTGCTCTGGGTCTGGGGTCACATGTAGGGCACACCAGGTGAGGATGGTGGATTTCCCTCCCGAGTGGAAATTAGAGAACTGGATAGGTTTGTATGACAATAGTCTCATAGTTGCTGTTAGACTAGCTTTTAATTCCAAATTGTTTTATTGAGTTCAGTTCATCTGCCATTGTGATATTCAAAGCTGTTTTCCCCAAACATTAGCCTCTGTGTTTGGATTACTTATCTACTGACATTATCATTGTACCATCACCTCCCAAAATAGTGATATTGTTGCATAAATAATAAATATCCAATTACATTACAATTGGCATTCTTTTACATTAATAATTAGGATGTAATTACATGGTTCCTATTGCATTAATAGTCAGCTGAACATTTCTTCAATAATAAGAAAATGATGACATTAATAATCAGTTTGATAATGTATCATGAATCAGATTTATTTCAATTCATAACAAAAGCACTTTTTCATCAATGATCAGGATTCGATTGCAGTAAAAAGTAATTTGCTACCAGTGCATTCATGACCCGATAATACGTCAACAATCCAATACACTTTTCCATCAACTAATAATTAATCATCAATAATGTGGATCATACCACATTAATCAGAGTGCAATGATATTAATTATCTTTCTAATCTTTATAAATTAGGCTCCTCAGTTATGAATAAATAGTTCCATTACTCTGTAAATCAGGAAACCCTTACATGCCTTTTCATCAACTCCACCCATGCTCAACTTCTACATCTCCAGCTCCCCAGTGAAAAAATAAAATCCACACCTCTGACTCCTTCCTTCCACAGAATTGATGTTATGGAAGGGAACCAGGTAGTCTGTGGTAAGAATCCAGATGTGTATTTGGCACTCATTTTAGGGTGAAATATGATATCAAAGTTGTGAACAGTTTATTTCAGTTCAGACATCTGCCAGGGAAGAGAGTGGAGTCCGTGGCTTTGGAATGGAGTTTGTTGTGGGGGCTAAAGACAATAGCTTTATTCTTCCAAATTATTACGAGAAAACTCTGCTCGTCCAATGCTGGATGTCAAAGAAGCAATGGAAGTATTAGAATGGGGCTTCATTGTGATGTCTGCTCCCATCTTCATAGAAATACAGCCAGTCAATCTCCACTGTTGTGGCTTACAAACAAAGACTTGGTCAAGATTCTAGACAAATCCTATTCAACAACCACCTCACAGTTGGCTTCCCTGTGTTTCTGTCTTTCACAATGTCCAATTGGCCACAAAGTCAAAGCAAAAATCCAACACAAATTAAATATTAAAATTCAAATTTATTGATGAAAT